TGGCGCGACCGAGGCGAACCGCGGTATCATGGCAACGTCGACAACGGTAGACGCGATGATGATAGTAGCGATGCTGGTGACGATGTTGACAGCGGCGGAGGCACGGCCAGTGACGACGCCGATGCTGATAACGCCGATGACGATGACGGCGTCCTCTCGTCGGCGATGAAGGTGTTGGAAGGAGTTCGACATGCGCGCGCGGCCGACGCGCGAGAGTGGCCCGCATTGTGTTATTTGACATGGATCGTGCCCCCAAGCTCTCGCGCAAGGGCGTTCGAATGATTTCGGCATGCGGCGCGAGAGGCCCCTCTGGCAGAATTCCATGACAATGTTGAAAGACCGATGATTTCTTCAGAACTCGCAATAGCGCGAGCGCTGGCTTTCGTTGAAAACTGATGTTGCGAAACCATGCTGTTTGTTTGTCGCGACTGCGTGACGCTCGGTCTCGAAATCCTTGCGAAGCTCCTTGGCGGATTTCGGCGCGCCCGCGGGCGCGCGCGCTCGCATCTCGCCCCAGGACTTGCAAATAATTATTGCGACAGCACGCGCGCGAGGGCGTCCGGGCGATTTCGACATGCGCGCGCGGCGCCCCGTTAGGTAGCATGTTATGAGCATCTGTAAAAAAAGAACAAAACAGAAAGGTTTTGTTCGAAGAACTCGCAAGAACACGAACGCAAGCTTCTCTTTATGATAACCATCGTTTATATATACATATACACGACACTCGAACTTGAACCCTTTACGAGACCGAAGGATTTTGACCGGTTTCGGCATGCGCGACGACGCGCGCGTGTGCACTTCGCCCCAGTTATTGTTGCAAGGAGTTCTGAATTCTTGAGAACTGATGGTTTTTGATCAGCGAGCGAGTGCGCATATAATTTGTTGCGGAGGATGACGGAGGGGATCGGTGCTGGTTGGGCTGGCGTGGTACGAATTCACGCTTAGGATGGATGATGGGGCAGAATCATATGTGTACCGATAATCCCAGGGGGTAGAACCCATGTTTTCAGAAAGGAAGATTGACGCGTTTCAACAGGTGCTGCGCAAGCTATACGGTGAAGTCTAAGTTGGCAATAGATTTTTACAGGTGGGTTGACAATTTCCACGCTCTTGTAAACACCCCGCCCACCCACCCGCAACTTGGTTTGCAAAACCCATGCGAAGGCGATTGCGATGAGTGCTCGGCGTTGGCTGGTGCATCTTTGCGGCTGCGCTAGCCCGCGCATGCTCGCGCGCAAAGCGGCCGGCTATTTTGGCGCGACCCACGCGAGCCCGGTGGCGCTGACCGCCGGGAATTTCCCAGCGGCCACGTCAGTGCGAATCGATGATGCGGGCGTGCGAGGTATCACGGTGACGCCGACAACGGTAGACGCGATTACGAGAGGAACGATGGTGATGGAAGTGGCGACTGCGACGGCAAAGCCAATGATGGCGCCGATGTTGACCGCGCCCGCCGATAATGATGACGATGCCCTCGCCTCGGCGATGAAGGTGCCAGAAGGAGTTCGACATGCGCGCGCGGCTGACGAGCGCGATTGGCCCACGTAGTGTTACTTGACACGGATCGCGCCCCCCCCCCCCCCCCCCCCCCAAAGCGCGCGCAAGGGCGTTCGCATGAGTTCGACTTGCGGCGCGAGACACCCGCTTGACACAATGCGATCAACATGTTGGACAACCGACGGTTTCATTAAGAATTCGCTCCCGCGCGAGCGCAGGATTTATTGACAAGTGTTGGTCCAAAGCCGTGCGTTCTTGTATGATTCTGGGGCGTTCCATGTTTGAAATCCTTACGGAACCGAGCGTTGCCAAAAGGATTCCGGCATGCGCGCGCGACGACGCGCGCGTGCGCACTTCTCTTTTTCTGTTGCAAGGGATTCTTGCGACAGCACGCGCGCAAGGGCCTTCGAACGATTTCGACGCGCGCGCGAGATGCCAATTTGGAAGCATGTTATGAACCTGTTGAGCATCGATGGTTTTTGTAACAAACTGCAAGAGAGCGGGCGCAAGCGTTTTTTGTGTTCGTTTTCGGCGTTTTCCGAACATGGTTGCTGCAACAACATGGGTTGTTTAACATCCTTTCGTGACACTCGATTTCGAAACCCTTACGACACTGCTTGGTTTTGCAATGATTTCGGCATGCGCGCGCGACCACGCGCGCGCGTGTGCACTTCGTCCGTTGTTCTGTGCAAGGGGCTCTTGACAACTTAAGATTTTCTGATAAATGAGAGCGCGCAATGTTTTTTCTTAGAGGATGGTGGGGGGTGTCGATACCGGCCTGTCTTGAATGTACGAGTTCATATTTAAGATGGGCGAGAGGGCGCAACCGCATGCAAAGTGCAATACGAGAGTGTGGATAGTTAGTTCCGGGGGGGTGATCTATTTACCGTTTAGAAATAAGAATCGATCCTGTGCACTTTATGTGGTGCGGTCAAGGTGGTGCACGCTATGCGGCACAATCTTTGTGGTGCAACCTACGCGGCGCAATCTATGATACGCATATGTGTTTTACACATGATTTGACACATCCCATGTTCTTGCAAACATCCCACCCGCCCACCCGCAACTTGCTTTGTAAATCCTTTCAAGGCCGACCACGACGACACCGGCGACAACGACTACGACGACACCGACGACGTCTCCGACTACTTCGACGACGACGACGACAACGACGACGACAACGACGACAACGACGACGACACCGACGACGACGACGCCGACGCCGACAACGACGACAACGATGACGACGTCAACGACGCCGACGACGACGACGTCGACGACGACGACGGCGGCGACGACGACGACGACGCCGACGTCGACGACGACGAAAACGACGACGACGCCGACGCCGACGACGACGACGAAGACGACGACGCCGACGCCGACGCCGACGACGACGACGACGAAGACGACGACGACGTCGCCAACGAAGACGACGACCAGGGAGGAAGGAGGACGACGACGGCGACAACGACGACAAGGACGACAAGGACGACAACGACGAGGGAGGAGGGAGGACGGCGACGACGCGAACGACGAAAAAAGAGGAAGGACGGCGACGCCGACGACGACAACGGCGAGGGAGGAGGGAAGACGACGACGACGACGACAACGAGGACGACGACGACGACGACGACGACGACGACGGCGACGAAATAGGAGGGACGACGACGAGACGCCGACGACGGACGACGAGGACGACGAGGGAGGAGGAGGAAGGACGACCACGGCGACAACGACGACGGAAACGACCACGACGCCAAAGAGGACGACGACGACGAACACGAGGAAAGACAGAGGACGACGTAGGCGACCACGACGACGACGACGCGGGAGGAGGGAAGACGGCGACGACGACGACGACGCAAGAGCGCGCGCGCACGCTTTTGTTGAAAACCCGTGTTGCGAAACCTTGTGTTGTTGTAGGTTTTTTGGACACGCGATGTTGAACTCCTTCCGAAACCGATGGGTTTTGAAGGATTTCGGCATACGCGCGCGACGACGCGCGCGTCTGCACTTCGTCTTATTTTTTTTGCAGAGGATTCTCGCGACGGCACACGCGCAAGGGCGTTCGACTGATTTCGACATGCGCGCGCGAAGCCCGTTTGGTAGCATTTTGTGAAAATCTGGAAAAACATATGGCTATCTCAAGATTTCGCAAGAGCGCGCGCGTAAGCTTTTTTAGCAAATCAGTGTTGCGAGACTCTGTGTGTTAGTATGTTTTTTTGGAACTCGATTACGAAATCCTTTCGACACCGAAAGTTTTTGAAGGATTTTGGCATACGCGCGCGAGGACGCGCGCGTGTTCACTTCGTCCCATGTTTTGCCAGGGATTCGCAAACAAAATCTTATGTTAGAACAAAAGATGTCCCCGCGTATTGCTTTTTTACAAGGGAACCTCAGGGGGACCGATACCGGTTCCCTGGGAATAGTGTAAATTCATATTTCGGATGGACATGTGGTCATAATCATATATGATTTGCACACCCGAAAGGGGGGCGGCGAACGCCAGGGGGGGGGGTAGAGTCTATTTTTTTAGACAGGAGAATCAAGAATCAAGGGCGGCGACGATGCAGCGACAGGGCGGCGACGGCAGCAACATAGCCGCCAGGCCGATAGACAGGCCCAGACGACGAGCGGAGACGAGGCGGCGACGGCGGCAACGTAGCCGCCTGACCGGCAGACAGGCCCAGACGACGGGCGGCGACGAGGCGGCGACGGGGTGGCGACGGCGGCTAAATAGCCATCGAGCAGACAGGCATGCCCAAACGACGGCCGGCGACGAGGCGGCGACGGGGCGTGGATTGCCGCAGGTCCAGATCCGTAGGAGGCCAAGAAAGCGAGTGCGCACGTGAGAGACAGAGGCGCGGCGTTGCAACTACGCCGGGGACTCGGACTCTGATGACCGAAGCCTCCCAGGCCAACGCCAAGGGGCCGTCGGCACCCCCTCCTCCTCCTCTTCCTCCTCCCCTGCTCCCCCTCCTCTTCCTCCTTCTCCTCCCTCCTCCTCCTCGTCCGCCCTTTCCTCTGCCACTTCCCCCCGAGGAAGGCAGGTGGAGAGGAGGAAGTGGGCCCTCGAACTGCACCTTCTGCATCATCTGCGCGGCAGATGCCGCACCGCCGCGGCCGCATCGCGGCGGCACCTTCCGCGCGAAAGGTGCGAAAGGTGTAGGTCGAGTGGGCAGGAGGAGGAACTGAAGGAGGTGGTGAGTGTTGCTTCTGCCCCAAACCCTGTCTTCTGGAGGTCCCCAGAGGTCCACGGGGCTACCCAGCGGTCCATGGGGGCCCCCATGGAGCCAGAGGTGGGCCAGGAGTAGGGGCCCCAAACTGCCGAAAACTTGCCCAGCACGGCCCGAACCCTCATAAACTTCCCTTCTGGCGGGAGGGCCGAGGGTCAGACTGAGCAGGGACAGAATAGGAGGTCCGCGGCGCCAGAGCGCGGAACGCTGGAGCCCTCCGCCGCCGCTGCCGTCGGCGTCGGCGCCGCTGTCGCTGCCGCCGTCGCCGTCGCAGTCTTCCCGGCCCCGCCAGCGGGACCATGCCGATGCCGCTGGGGCGGCCCCCCGCCGCTGGCGGCGGCGGGAACGAGGCGTTCCGCCGGAGGCCCGCCGAGGGCTTTAGCGCCGCGGGCTTCGGCAAGGTGGTGCACCGGCAGCTCCGCGGCGCCCGCGATGCCATCCTCGCCAGGGCCCAGGACCGCGAGGTCCGCGCCGCGAGTCGTGTTCGAAGGTTCGAGGCTCGAGATCGAGATGTGGCAGCTTTTGGACGTTTTCGGGCCTCCAGGAGCTCGCCAGTGACATGATTACATCGATATCTACCAGGCATGCCCCAAGAAACATCTGGCAGGACGCTGGACGTGTATACCCTCCCGCTTCTACGCACCCAGGGGCGGGAAGTTGGCCGCACCCCGCGCCCCGCCAGATGCCCGGGGGCAGCGCCGCTGCCCCCTTGGGCATGGCAGCGCCGCTCGGGGACCACCCGCACTCGCTGACTCGGAGCGGCTGCCGCAGCGGCTCTGTGTCGGGGATGCCAGCGCACGGGCCCGCGAGCCCAGCGCGCTCCGCCGCCCCAGCAGCCCCGAGCCCCTGCCGCCTCGTGGCTCGCCCCGCCCTGTGTGCCCGTGTCCTCGCCGTCGGCCTTCGAATCGTGTGGGGTTGTCGAGTCGGCGAGCGTGAGCGCAGGCCCCCTCCCCGCGCGGGCCGACCGAGGTCGGGCACGAGGGCGAGCACCGCGTCTTCCCGAGGGCGCAGCCGCTCGGCGGCCTGCTGGCGGTCAGACCGGCGGCGCTGCACCAACGGAGGGCGGGAGGCTCCAAGCGGTGTGGTGACCGCACCGTGTGGTGCAACGAAGTTTCGAAGGTTTGAGCGTTTCGAGCGTTTCGTTGGTCCTCTGCGGCTCTCCAGCCTCGGGATGCCCCAATCGTCCAGCGGCTGCACCTCGCCAGGAACTATCCGAGAGGGCCCAGATCGTCCCGAACGGCTGCCAGCGGCCAGAGTCATGACCCGAAAGCCGTGGATTTCGATGTCTCTGCGGATTGGGGGGGTCACCGGACGGTTTGTCACCGCTCCGCTTTGGGGCCCCCATACCCAGACCCCCTCGGGTCAGAGCAAGATTATGACAAAATTGTTTTCGAGTTTCGGCCTCTGGGGGCCCTGGCTGGGCCCCGGGACCATCAGAAACGACTCAGGATGAGACGCCGGTCTCGTGGAATGGGTCGATACATCTGGGGGTCGATGTAGGATCGAGGTCGGTTCGGGGAGGATGCCCTAATGTTCTTCGTGTTTGTGGGATGTGATTGTGCGTCCCCTCCTGTTCTTGAAGGATGTTCTTCTGTCCTAGGTCTGGCCGTGACCCACCAATTATGACGTCGGGGAACGACGGGGGATGGGGGCGAGGGGGGGGCGGCCTCAGCTGAGGGGGCAGTGGCCCGGGGGGAATGCAGCTTGAGGCCTCGGCCTCGAGCTTCTCGGGAGGCTTCCTGGAAGCCTCGAGGGCCCTGCTTGTCAGAAGCGTGGCGCGCCTCGGACGGGGCTGGGACGAGGATAAATCCGCTCCAGAGCGTTCCGGCATGCTCTCGGAGCGTTCTGGACCGCTCTGAGAAGGCCGCGGCGCCCGAGACATCCTCCTGATCCGCCGACCCTCAGAGATTCTCGATCTATCGATCTATCTTCACCCGAATCCATCCTCGCCCTGGCTTCGTCTTAGCGCCCTCCCAGAACGCCGCCCCCTCCCTTTCGACCCCCATGAGGAGGACGAGGAGGAGGAGGAGGAGGAGGAGGAGGAGGAGGAGGAGGAGGAGGAGGAGGAGGAGGAGGAGGAGGAGGAGGAGGAGGAGGAGGAGGAGGAGGAGGAGGAGGAGGAGGAGGGGGGGGGACGGTAGGAGGAGGAGGAGAGGAGGAGGAGGAGGAGGAGGAGAGGAGGCGGAGGAGGAGGAGGAGGAGGAGGTGGAGGGGGGGAGGGAGGAGGAGGAGGAGGAGGAGGAGGAGGAGGAGGAGGAGGAGGAGGAGGAGGAGGAGAGAGGAGGAGGAGGAGGAGGGGAGGAGGAGGAGGGAGGAGAGGAGGAGGAGGAGGAGGGGGAGGGGAGGAGGAGGAAGGAGGAGGAGGAGGAGGAGGAGGAGGAAGGGGAGGAGGGGGGGACGGGGAGGAGGAGGAGGAGGAGGAGGAGGAGGAGGAGAGGAGGAGGAGGAAGGAGGAGGAGGAGGAGGGAGGAGGAGGAGGAGGAGGAGGAGGAGGAGGAGGAGGGGGAGGAGGAGGAGGAGGAGGAGGAGGAGGAGGAGGAGGAGGAGGAGGAGGAGGAGGAGGGGGAGGAGGAGGAGGAGGAGGAGGAGGAGGAGGAGGAGGAGGAGGAGGAGGAGGAAGATAGGAGGAGGAGGAGGAGGAGGAGGGAGGAGGAGGAGGAGGAGGAGGAGGAGGAGGAGGAGGAAGGGAGGAGGAGGAGGAGGAGGAGGAGGAGGAGGAGGAGGAGGAGGAGGAGGAGGAGGAGGAGGAGGAGGAGGAGGAGGAGGAGGAGGAGGAGGAGGAGGAGGAGGAGGCCCACCGCCCGCCCAGTGCCCTCTCGAGACCGGCCCCCTGCGGCACTTCCGCCCAGGCCCACACGGGCCAGCTGCTCTGCGAGAGCCGCGCACGGCCCCAGCGGAGGAGGAACAGCGCCCCATGGGGGCGGTACTTTTAGATATAAAGCGGTACTTTCTGATATAAGACGGTGCTTTATGAGATAAGACGGTACTCTATGATATAAGAAGGTACTTTAGTACGATTCCCGGATCTTTTACTAAAGTACCATTTCGTGGGAAGCGTACCGCCCCAGGGGCGGTACCCGATCCTCTCGGCAGGAGGCGCTCTCTCCGGAGGCCTTCTGGGGCGGGTGGCCCCCGGGGTCGTGGCATTCGTTCGCAACCTGGACCTCCACCCAGACAGTATCGTGTCGCAAAAAAAATCAGGGCGGGAGGTTTTTGGCTATTTTCGGCCCGGGGGGGCCCTCGCTGCGCCTCGGGGCCGTCGAAAAACGACTCAGGACGAAAAACAGGTCCCCGGGAAAGTGTCGGGATTTCCAGGGACGCCGCATGTCTGGGCAGAGGTCTCCGTTATGTCGGGGGCCCGGTAACCGCAGAGGGGGGATGTTCCAAGGTGGGCGGGATCAGCGGAACGCTTACACCTTTCTTATCCCACGAGCCGTTCAGAGCGATTGTCCTGTAACCCTACCTCTTCCCCTGCCCCACCTCTGCGTCCCCACTGCCATTCGACTCTGTAGACCCTCTCCCCGGCGCCGGCCTCTCGCCCCGCGTCCTTCTTTGACGGTCCTGGGGCCTGGTGAGGGCCCTCAGAGGCCAACATCGACCAAACACGTCCCGCCTGTGTTTTGTCGCGACCAGAGGAGGTCTCATGGCGCGCGGCCCCGATCAGCCGAAAAGGTATGTGACCGAACATCGATGACCGACAGCGTGCGTGAAATTCTGACTGAAAACGTAGTGTGGCGAAATTGCAACTGAAAATGAACATAGCCTTAGCTTCGAACCAAGAATGTCGCTCACACTCGCGGGCGTTCGGAAAACATCGGGCACTGTTTTCGATCACACTCGAGCAGATTGTCGGAAGCAGCTTCGGTCACTACTACACTCCCCCGAGAGAGAGACGAGGCTGCGTAACGAGGAGACGGGGCGTCTGGGGCCGTCCCAAGGCGCCCCAAGAGGAGACCCCCCAAAACCCAGGATGGCCCCAAGACGGCCCAAGAAGCATCCAATAAGCCTCCAAGAGAGCCCCAAGAGGACCACCAAGAGGACTACCAAGAGGCTGTGTGAGGGGCCTGCGGGCGGCGCGCCCGGGGGGAAGCGGGAAGCAGCAGGCCTCCTCGGACGGCGGCGGGGGTCCTCAGAAGCCACCCGGCCGTCTGAGAAGTCTTCGGTGGCTTCGGGGAAGGCCTCCTCCTCCTCCTCCGTTTCCTCCTCCTCCTCCTCCTCCTACTCCTCCTCCTCCTCCGTCTCCGTCTCCGTCTCCGTCTTCTCCTCCTCCTCCTCCGCCTCCTCCTCCTCCTCCTCCTCCTCCGTCTCCTCCTCAAGGCCCGAGGCCTTCCGATCCTCTGGGGAGGCCCTGCCCTTCTCACCCCCCCCGGGCGCGCCGCCGAGCCTGTGGCTCGGGTGCCGCGAGGTCGAGCCGGAGGGCGCTGGCGGCTGCCACTGGGCGCGGCCGCTCGGCGGCCCGGCGGTCCCGTGGGCGCCGCCGTGGCCCGCGGGGGGCCAGGCCGTCACGTGGGCGTCGCTGCCGCTGGCCTCGGCGCGCTCGGCGCCGGAGGCGCTCGGGGGGGCCCGAGGTACGCACCCCCAGGCGGTCTTCGTGGCCTCGCACCCGCAGCTCCGAGGTACCACGCCGCGTGGTCGGGAGCTCGGCCGAGGATGTTTACCAGCCTCGAACGTACCCCTATCCCTAAGATTGACACGCCAAAAGGCGATGGCAATCTCAGGGAGTCGCCCGCAAAAGTAAGGGAATCCCTAAGATTGGCATCGTGATGAGGAGGCGCCCAGCATAGGGATAGGGATATGCTCCAGGCTGGTAAGATGTCGGTGCATCGACGTTGCCTCAGATCAGGGCGCCATGACTTCCTTCACGCCATGGCGTTTCCCCGCGCGGCTTGGGGCCCCATGGGGCCCTCACGGGTCGACCCGGCTCGAGGCATGCAGCAGCGGGAGGGGGTCTCTAGGGCTCTGGTCGCGCTTTCTGTTGCTGTGCCGTCTTTTTCGCGACGTCGGACCTCAGGAAAGGGGGGTTGGCGTCTCAGCTCGCGTGGTGGTTTTCGCCGGCGCCTCCTGGCGCATCTGGGAAAAAGGCGCAGGGAGGCCGACGCCGGCGGCGTGCGGCAGACTTCGCCCCCGCCCCCTTCTCTATATTCCCCCAGACCCCCGACGTGATTCCTGCATCTGTCACAGCTTGGACCCCTGCCACTCTGTTTTGCAGCGTCGGATCTCAGGGCTCAGCACCCCCCCCCTTCCCTATTCCCCCCGACCCCGACGTCATGCATCCGCCTTTCACAACTTGGACCCCTGCCAAGTTGTTTTGCAACGTCGGATCTCAGGGTTCCAGCATCCTACAGGTCGGGAAGCTGGCGCATGTGTGCACCGAACCCCGTGGCCGCCAAGACCACTTGGTGTATATGTGACGAGCCCCTCCCAGGCGCCCAGCGGCGGCCGCGAGCTCCTGTGGGAGCTGCCCCTGGCGAGGACGGGCGACGGCAGAGACAGTGACGCTGCTTTTGACGAGGACACAAGCAACGACCACGACGATCACAAAGACACAAACGATGACCACCACGACCACAATTTTGACAAAGACACAGACGGCGGCGGTGGCGACGGCACAGACCTTCTTATCGAATCAGGAGATAGTTAAACAACGGTCTACGAATCTAAACTTTCGAATCTCCGCTCAGATTGGTTTGATCGGCGCCGCCTGGTGGCGCCTCCGGCGCCGCACCTGGCGCCCTCCGCGCGCCAGGGAGGGGGTCCAGCGCCGATCCAAGAAATCCGCGTGGACCTGCGACATTGTATGTTCACGACGGCCGCCTTTTTGGCGTTAACTTGGCCTCTGGAGGCCGTCCCTTGGCCCCCGGACAGCCAGGAAATTACTTAGGATGACAGGCCGTTTGACACGAACGGGTCGAGATCCCCGGGGCCCATGGCGGCACAGATGCGGCGGCGGCGCGCAAGGCAAAGGTGGAAGCGGCGCCGGCACAGAACACGACCCCGACGTTGACTTCGACGGCGACGACGGCGACCGAGACAACGACGACGACGTCACAAACACACATGCAAACGACAACGATGACGGCGACGACCACGATGACGACGACGACGACAGCACAAACACAAATGCGAACGACGACGATGACAATAGCCACGACAACAACGACGACGACAACACAAACAGAAATAGTATAAACGACGAGCCCGACGTCGACCGCGACGACAACGACGACGACACAAACACAAACACAGGTGCAAACGACGACGATGACGACGACACACACACACACTAATTCAAACGACGACGATGGGGACCACCACGACGACGACACAAGCACAAATGCAAACGACGACGACGATGACAACGAGCACGACGACGACGATGACGACCGAACAAAAACGCAAACGACGACGTTGACGATGACGACGGCGACGACACAACTACAAATGCGAACAACGACGACGACGATCACGAGGACGACGACCACGAGCTGGCGTCGACGACAGAAACAAAACTGTAGACGACGACCATGATGACGGCAACGACGACGACAACTCAAGCACACATGCAAACGACGACGACGATGACGACAGCAACGACGATGACACACACACGAATGCTAACGACGACGACGATGGCGGCGACGATAACCACGTCGACGACGTCGACGCCGACAACGATAGACCCAAGCGCAAACACAAGTGCAGACGCCGACGACGACGATGACGACGACGACACAAACACAAATCAAAACCACGACCACGATGACGACAACGATGACGACGACACAAACACAAATACAAACGACGACGACCACGACGACCACGACGACGACGACGCAAAACCAAACGTAAATGCAAACGACGACGACGATGACGTCGACCACGACACAAATACAATCACACATGCAAACGACGACGACGATGACGACGACCACGACGACGACACAAATACAAATGCAAACGACGACGACGACGATGACAGCGACGACGACGGCACGAACGCAAATACAAACGACGACGACGATGACGATGACCACGACGACGACGACACAAACACAAACAGAGGTGCAAACGACGACGATGACGACGACACACACACACACACTCATGCAAACGACGCAGGATATGACGACGGCAGCGACGACGACGACACAACCACAAATGAAAACGACGATGACGATGAAGACCACGAGGACAACAACACAAAATCAAAGGCAAACGACGGCGATGACGACGGCGTTTAAGACGTCGTCATAAGCACTGCGACGACACACACACATGAAAGCGTCAACGATGACGAAAACCACGGCGACGCCGACGCCGACAACGACGACGACAGGAACACAAATGTAAACGACGACGACGATGACGACGGCGACGACGACGACACAAACACACATGCAAATAACAACCATGATGACCACGGTGACGACGACGATGATGACTACACAAAAACGCAAACGACGACGGTGGCGACAACGACGTCGATGACGACGACGACACATACACATTGAATTTGTGACGACGACAAAAACACAAGTGCAAACGACGCCGACGATGACGACGACCACGACGAAAACGCCACAAGCACATATGCAAACGACGGCGACGGCAACGACACAAACACAAATTCAAATGACGATGACGATCACGACGACGACAACGACCATAATGACGACGACGATCACACAAGCACAAATGCAAATGACGTCGATGATGGCGGCGGCGACGACAACGACGCCGGCAACGACGACGACAACGTCACAAGCACAAGTGCAAACGACGACGACGATGACAACGACCACGAGACGATGACGACCGAACAAAAACGCAAACGACGACGTTGACGATGACGACGGCGAGACGACGACACAAACACAAATGCAAACAACGACGCCGACGACCACGAGGACGACGACCACGAGCTGGCCTCGAGGACAGAAACAAAACTGTAGACGACAACCATGATGACGGCGACGACGACGACGACACAAGCACAACTGCAAATGACGATGACGACGACGACAACGACGGCGACGATGACGATGACACCGGCGACGACGACAGAAACACAACTGCACACGACGTCGATGACGACGACCACGACGACAAAGACGGCAACGTTGATTTAGACACGAATGCAAACGACGACAACGATGACGACGAAGAAAACGACGACGATAAACACACGAACACATATGCAAACGACGCCGACGATGACGACGGTGACGACCACGATGACGACGACGTCGACACAAACACGCATTCAAACGAGGACGATTGTAATGACAACCACGACGACCACAGTGACGACACACACTTGCAAGGATCAACGATGACGAAAACCACGACGACGATGACGACCATGGCGACGACAGAAACACAAATGTTAACGACAACGACGATGAGGACGGCGACGACGACGACACAGCACAAATGCAAACGGCGACGACGATTACGAACAAACACAAGTGCAGACTTTGACGACGAAGATGAGGACGACCACGGCGACGACGACACAAACGAACCTATACACAATGACGACGATGTCAACGACCACGACGGCGACGATATAAACACAAATGCGTACGACGACGATGGCGACGACGACCACGACGACAACACAGACACGGATGGGAACGACGACGACTGCGACGACGACGACACAAACACACATGCAAACGATGACGGCGATGATGACGACGACGGTGACGACTACGACGATCGACGACGACACGAACACACATGCAACCGCCGACGACGGCGACGACAACCACGACGACGACACAAACACAAGTGCAAACGCAGACGATGACGACGGCGAGACGACGTCGACGACAATGACGCACATGCAAGCGACGTCGACGACACTAGCACAATTGCAACCGACGACGGCGATGACGACGACGACCACGACGAAGTCGACGTCGACACACACACATGCAACCGACTACGACGATGACAGCGACTTTGACGACGACGACGCCTACGTTGACTTTGTCGCTTCGACGGCGACGACGACGACACAACCTCAACTGCACACGTCGACTAGGATGACGATGACCACGACGACGATGACGACGCCACCACGACGACGACGACGACTATACAAACACAAACACACATTCAAACGACGACGAAGACGACGACCTCTACGACGACAACGACGACTCTTACGTTGACTCAGACGGCGACGTCGACGACACAAACACAAGCAAACGGCGACGACGACTATGACGACGGTGACGACGACGACGACGACGACTCAAACACAATTGTAAACGACGGCGATGACGACGAAGATCACGACAACGACAACATAAACGCACATGCAAACGACGGCGACGACAACGTCGATAATGACGACGACCACGACTACGACGTTGACGACGATGACGTCGAATTCGTCTGCGACGGCTACGACGACGACACAAGCACAAACACAAACGGTACCGACGATGCCGCCAGCGGCCACGACGACGACGATGACGTCACAAACACAGACGCAACCAACGACGACCAAGACGACGACGACAAAAACACGCTGCCAACGATGACAACGATGACGACGTCCACCACGACGACAACTTGAACGGCGACGACGATTACGACTCAAGCATACATGCAAACGACGACAACGGCGACGGCGTCCACGACGACGACATAAACACAAATGCAAACGACGGCGACGATGACGACGACGACCACGACGACGACGATCACCACGGCGACGACGACCATGACACAATCACAAATGGAAGCGACGACTACAATGACGACGTTGACCACGATGACGACGACGATGACGGCGGCGACGATGACGACGACACAAACCACGACGACGACGACATAAACACAAATGCAAACGGCGACCACAACGACGAGCACGACGATTTCGATGACGACACAACCACAAATGCCTTCGACGACGACGATGTTGACGCCGACCACGAGAACGACGACGACGACGACGAAGACGTCGGCGGCGGCGGCCGTGGCGACGGCAAGCGGCGACGGTGGCGGCGACGGTGTCGGCGGGCCCTCGGTCGTGCGCGCCCGCCAGGGCAGCCGCATCTCATCCGCGCCATCGCGGCTCGCCGTCCGGCGCGAAATGCCTAATCTTAAGTCGGGCGTGTCCCTCAACGGGGGGAAATCCAAAAATAGTCAAAGAATAGTCTGGAGACGATTTGTTTTTCAATTTCGTTGAGTATTTTTTGATTATTTCTTATTTTTCGTCCACAATCCCCCTGTAGGGGGACACGCCTGACCTAAGCCTAATCAACTGTCGGTCGTTCGATTCAACCTTGGGAGCTGGAGAGATCCTGGTGGACATCGGGGGTGTTGGGCAAGCAGGGCCATCGAAGGGCTGGTCTCGGAGGTCCTCGTTGGTCTCCAGCTGTCTTCGTTGGAGGGGTCGTTGCCGACGTGGTTGTGGTCGCGCTTGTCGTGGTCGTCCTTCTCTTCGCCTTCGTCCCCGCTCTCCTCTGGACCCCCCTCCCCAGGAGCATAGGCGAGAGGATGGCGAGGGCGACGGGGGCTGGGGCGGGCGGAAGACGGATAAGTGGGACTTGCGAGGGGGAGGAGCGGCAGGGCCGTCCTCACCCCCTTCATCCAGCCAGCGCCCTGTCAGAATTTACCTGCGGCCCCTCCTGCGGCCCATCGTGGCCCGTACTGGCCACTGTCGCACCCTGGGTCAACTGGCGACGGTCGCTGCGCCCGAAGCGGGCCGCTCGGAGGCCGTAGTGGAGGACCATCGGCCCGCGCGACTGTTCAAGGTCCTGGGTCCCCGATCCTCCCCGCCTGCTGGCGTGGGGAGGCGGCCTGACGCGCTGGAGGCACTGAGCTCCCGCACCCGCCGCTCCAGTGGGGGGCCGCCCCCCCCAAGACAGTACTGCATCTGGCGAGCATCGCTCTTGCACCGGAGGGGCTCGATGTGCACACCACGCCGTGTGGTCGGCCAAGAGGCCAGGGCACTCGACGGAGGAAGTCGGTGTCCAGGCGTTCCGGCGCCTCCGCCCCCCGAGGAGGGCGGCCAGCCTGTCGCCCGACGCCGACCGCCCGCGCACGGGGAACCTGGGCTACCTGGAGTACCTCGCTTGGCTTCAGAGGCCTCGCCCCCCGCTGCTCCTCCCTCGGGTTGCGCGCGCCTCGCTCCCGCCTTCTTCCTTTTTCTCATCCCTCCTCCTCGCCCTCCTCCTCCTCCTCCTCCTCCTCCTCCTCCTCCTCATCCTTCTCCCTCCTCCCTCCCTCCTTGCGCCCTGTCTCCCTCCTCCCTCCTCCTCGCTTCTGAGACGCTGGGCCTCAGCCTCCCTCCATTCCAGATTCTTTACATTCTCTGGCGTGGTTCCTCCTCCTCCTCCCCTCCGTCATCCTGCATCTTATCCCTCCCTTTCTTCTCCCCCCTCCCGCTCCTCCTCTTCCTCCTCCTCATCATCATCATCATCATCACCATCATCATCATCATCATCATCATCATCATCATCATCATCATCATCATCATCATCATCATCATCATTCTTCTTCTTCTTCCTCCTCCTCCTCCCTCCTCCTCCTCCTCCTCCTCCTCCTCCTCCTCCTCCAGCTCCTCCTGCCCCTTGTCCCTTCTCCTCCTCGTACTCCTACTACCCCGCCACTCCTAGACCTCCTTGCTGTCGGACCACCAGAACGTGCATAATTCTCCATGACCCGCCCATCCTAGACTCTCTGGGCCCCAGAGCGCCTTCTGGAGACTCTCGCGGAAGGTCCCCTGGAGAGCAGGGGGGCTCCTCACGAGGGATCAGAGGCTCTCGGAGGGGTCTCCTGGAAGGCCCCCGAGGGGCTCCCGAGAAACTCCCACGAGCTCTCTCGGAAGGCCACCCCAAACATTTACAGCGCCTCCCAAGAAAAAGCCCCCCCTCGTCGGAGGAGGACGCCAGCCACTGGCCTCACGCCGAGCCCCGCCTGGCCAGCCCTGGGGGCCCAGGACGGGCCCGGCCGGGATCCGTGTGCGTAGATGGCCCGCGCCCCATCCGATCGGCGCGCAGGGTGATGCCGGAGAGCATGCTGGACTCCGCCGACGCGGAGGCCGAGCAGCCACCCACCGAGCCGCACGAGTCAGGCTCGCCCTGCGGCGCGCGGTCGTTGTCATCGTCGTCGCAGCCCCCGTCGTCGTCGCAGCCGCCGTCGTCGTCGCAGCCGCCGTCGTCTTCGCAGCCACCGTCGTCGTCGCCGCCGTCGTCGTCGCCGCCGTCGTCGCCGCAGCCGCCGTCGTCGCGGCCGCCGTCGTCGCTGCCGTCGTCGTCGTCGCAGCCGCCGTCGTTGCCGTCATCGCCGCCGTCGTCGCCGCCGTCGTCGTCGCCGCCGTCTGTAGAGCACGCCAGCCGCCCTCGGGGGTGGGGGCCGGGCAGCCCGACTCTTTGGATTGGCAAACAGCCTGTCCCCAGGTCTTCGATGTCGGGCCAACTTGTCGGCTGCATGTGGGCGCGGCAAATTCCAATTCCAGAGGCCGTTGTCGTCAGGGGCAACATTGTGGGAAGGATAGTTAGTGTCAGGGGGCATCGACCCTCAATCAATCGCCCACTCATCGCCGATAGGGGCCTGGTATCCCACCCCTCGCAGGAACGTGCGGTTTCGGCATCGACGGCATATCGGCGATGCATATCCGATTCCAAATCGATGCTCCCGTGAGCCAATTACACTCCCTGCGCCTCCCCTTGAGGTCGGGATCCGGGGGGGGGCATGCTGATTCCGCCTGGACTCGAAGCTCTGGACAGGCAGCGTGGGCGTTCTAGGTTGAACGCAGCCAGTGGCCCGAAATGGATTGACATCGTACGACCTGCGTCTCGGAGAGCCATGATCGCTCCAGGGCGAACGATCATGGCTTCCACGCTCCGTGGATCTGGCGCACACGCGCCAGATCACGTATCCGTAATCCATGTTAGCGTACGCCGCGCTCGCCCCGACCTGACGAACACCCGCTGCTGACAGGGCTGCGGCATGCCGCGCCGCCTCGGGTTGTGTCGCCTCCGTCCGCCAATGTAGAGTTGACCTTTGATGTTTTGGCTTGCGATGAAGCGCTCATCTTTGAGGCCGCTGACCGTGTCAGCAAAGTAACTATCTTGTGAGATGCGACGTTTGCCCGTTCGCACCAGGGCGCTGGGCTTTGCAAAAGTAGTGGCGGCACGAACGCGAGGCGAGACGCAATGCCGTCAAGTCCCGAGAGCAGGAGGAGGAAGAAGGCGAGGTGGAGCAGAGAGACGGAGAGGTGGAGCAGAGAGAGGGGGACGCGAGGGGAGGCGAAGCAGAGAGGAGGAGAAGGGGGGGGGCGGAGCGGAGGAGGAAGAGGAGGCGAGTAGAGAAGGGGAGGCGGAGCACAGGAGGAGGATGAGGAAGAGGAGGGAAGTATGTGGATCGCATGAGAGACCGCATTATGTCAACTGCAGAACACAGTTCTCCTGGGGCAGTAGTAGAGTAGAGACGGCAGCCTGGGGGCGTAGGCCACAGAAATAATAATCTCAACCGTAACAATAATAGTAGTAGTAGTAGTAGTAGTAGTAGTAGTAGTAGTAGTAGTAGTAGTAGTAGTAGTAGTAGTAGTAGTAGTAGTAGTAGTAGTAGTAGTAATGATAACAATGATAATACAGATGCAATAGCAAGAATAATATACATAATAAGTAAGAGGAGGAGGAGAAGGAGGAGGAGGAGGCGAAGGAGGGAGAGGAGGAGGAGGACGACGAGGAGGAGGAGACGACGACGAGAGGAAGCGGCGGATGGGGCCGCGAACCCGCCGCGCCGAGCGCGGCGGCGAGGCCTGGAGCTCTTGCGCCGGCTCAACGCCGCGGCGCGCCCCAAGCGCCCGCTGCGGGTGCCGGAGCTCACGCCCGAGGAGCTGGAGCTCGCGGAGCGGGGGCTGTCGGGCGGCCCGGGCGGCGAGGTCGTCGCCTCGCGCTTCAAGGTCGACCCTGGCTTTGGGGGGGCTCTTCGGAGCTCTCCTCCTCGGCTTCTCTGTCCTCCTCCTGGATCCTCGACCCTCCTCCTCCTCCTCCTCCTCCTCATCCTCCACCACCTCCACCTCCTCTTCGCGCGCGCTTCAAGGTCGACCTGGCTCTGGGGGGGCCTCCTCCTCCTCCTCCTCCTCCTCCTCCTCCTGGTCCTGCTTCTGCTCCTCCTCCCAGGAGGAGGAGGAGGAGGAGGAAGAGGGGAAGGAGGAGGAGGAGGAGGAGGAGGAGGAGGAGGAGGAGGAGGAGGAGGAGGAGGAGGAGGGGGAGGGGGAAGAGACGGGCATCGGGTCACCGTCCGAACCTACCTCCAGCTTCAGCTTCAAGGGACCAGGGGGAGGAGGAGGAATGTCTTCAACGTTCCCAGATGAAGGGTTCGCCGTCTTCAGGCCTCTGTGAGGGGCTTCTCGGCGCGGCGGCTGGTAAGCATCTCGAAATTGTGGTCGACGCACGCCACGCCACGACACGTCCAGTACGATGGGGGGGAGGAGGCTTGGCATCGTTCTGACGTGTGCATTTTTCTCCGCGAGGACCATCGAGGATCATCCTGGATCATCGGTCAAAGAAGCGCACGAAAACGACAGCTGCACGGGGAATGGACGTCCGAGCGATGGAGGGGGTGGAGGAGGGGGCCACAACGGAGCGCCAGCGGCAAGCTGTCCACCTCTCTTCTTCTTCGTTGTTAGTTTTTCATGTTCGATAATAGTTGTAATTGGGCCTCTTTCGGTGCCACTGCGCTTTTCGAAAATCTGGTGTCCTCGCATCTTGTTTTTCTTTGACGAAAGAGAATGTTGGGCCTCAGACTGGGCCCCTGGCCCCCGGTTGGAATTTCTCCCTTTGGATTTCTTCACGATTTACTCGGGAATTGTGCTATCGCTCGAGATGCCCTCGCGAGTCATGCAGGACTGACGCTTCAGCGACTCGCCCGTCTGCTTCGGCCGCTTGTTTTCCCGCTCCCAGACCCCCTCCTGCGCCATCTCTATCGTGCTCCATCCTTCTCCCTCCCCCTTGCCCCTTCCCTCCTCCCTCTCCTTCACCTCTTAAGTGGCATGGGCTGCGCCAAGTACACGTGGCAGGTAAGGAAGATGTGCCGCAACGGGGGATATGTCGAAGACGAAGAGCCCGGATATCGATGGTTTGGGGTGACCCGCGGGCAGATGAGGGCGAACCGTACCAAAGCTGCTGCGCTCTCGCGCGGAACTGCCGAATACTGTATCAAAGAGCCGCGCTCTCGCGTTGCACTTCCTCGCAGCTTACTGAAACGCCGCGCTCCCAGCACTCAGGAATCAGATTCTCGATTTCGTCTCCTCTTCCTCCTCTTCCTTCCCCTCCTCCCGCTGCGGCGACCCTTGTTCGCTTGGAGTGGGGCTCCAAGAACACGGCTGGATTTTGAAGATGTCTTTGATTTTGACGCCACGCGAGGTCATCTGTTCTGTCCGCATCGTCCCCTCAGTTTTCCTCTTTTTTCTCCCAAAATATTGCGCGGGAAAAAAAAAGATTCTCGCTTTCGCGATATACTTGGGAATCGCGCTGTCGCAGGAGATGTCCTTGCAAGTCCTGCAGAACTGACGCTTCAGCGACCAGCCCGCTCGACCTGGCCGTCTGGACCCGCCCGCCCGACCCGCCCGTGAGGGTCCGCCCGCACGATCCGCCCATCTTCTTCAGCCGCTTGTTGTCCTGCTCCTAGACCCCTTCTGCGCCATCTCTTTCTTGCTCCATTGTTCTCCGTCCCGTTGTCCCTCCCCTCCTCCTTCCCTTACCCTGTCTTAGAGGCTGCGCCAACTACAGCCCCCCCTAACGTGGACTACACAGCCAACGTTGCCCAGACCTCGGTGACACCGAGCCTGGCCCGCGCGGAGCAGGACACCTGCATTCTAGCGACGCGCTTGTCTCGGAATCGTGCTCCGGCTTGTGCGTGGGCCGCATGTTTGATTGAAAATGTTGTTGTCACCTAGGCGGCCGCGTCATCCTTCATTGAGCATGTCATTCTCGCCTTGGCGCCGGCCACATCTCTGATTAGAGATGTTGTTTCGCTTCGGCGCAGGCGGCATCTTTGTTGTATGTCGTTCTCGCTCTGGTGCTGGCTACATCTCTGAGTGAACATGTTGTAGCCTAAGTGTTGGCAACATCCTTCATTGAGCAATGCCGTTCTCGCCTTGGCGCGGGCCACATGTCCGATTGTGAATGTTGCTGTGGCCCATGCGCTTGCGACACCTTTCATTGAGCATGTCTTTCTCGCTGTCGCGCTGGCCACGTGCCTGATTGAACATGTGTTTTTCACCTCAGCGCTGGCGATTGCAGCCTTCATTGAACATGTCGTTCTCGCCTCGGCGCCAGCCACGTATCTGATTGAAAACGATGTTGATGCCTATGCGTCAACACATTCTTCAGTGAGCATGTCATTCTCGCTGTGGCGCCGCCCACATCTCTGATTGAAAATGACGCTTTGGCTTAGGCGCTGGCCGCACGCGTGATTGCGATTGCTGGTCTCGCCTCAACGCGGGCCACACTCTCGATTCGGAGTGCTGATTTCGCCTAGGTGCCCGCCGCACGCATAATTGCGGTAGTTGTTCCAGCCTCAGTGCAGGCTGCGCTCTCGATTCGAAATCATGCTCTCGCCCAGCGCTGGCCAAAAACATTATGGCGAATGATGTTAGCGCCTCTGCCGCTTCGGCGCCAGTCGCACCCTTGACTGCGAATGCCGTTCGCATCTTGATTAGAGATTGTGCCATCGCTGGGGTTCCCGACACATGTTGATTGCGAACGCCGTTCCCGCCACAGGGGAAGACGCAGCCTCACAAGCCTGCGGGCTGCGCAAGCTTCAGGATCGCGGCCCCATCCGCGGCCAATTTGGCGCCAAGGTGCCGCTTGTGCTGATGCGCTTTGTGTTTTTGGTTATCGTAGTGCTGGTCACACTGGTGCTGCTGCTGGTGCCGCTAGTAGTGCTGCGCATGGTGCTGCTGCTTCCCGTCGTGCTGGTCACAGTCGTACTACGACAGTCGTACTGCTGGTAGTGCTCCTCACACTAGTACTCCTCGTTGCGCTTGTGCTGGTGCGCGTAGTGCTGTTGTTTCATGTCGGGCTGGTCGCAGTGATGCTGCTGGTGGCGCTGGTAGTGGTACTTGTGGTGCTACGGCTTTCCTTTGTGCTGGTCGCTGAAGAGCTGCTGGAGGCGCTGGTGCTGCTGCTTCGCGTAGAGTTGCTGCCTCTGGCGATGCTCGTCACACTGGTACTGTTCGTGGCGCTTGTGCTGATGCGCGTAGTGATGCTGTTTCGCGTCCTGTTGGTCGCATTCGTGCTGCTGGTGGCGTTTGTAGTGCTGCGCGTGGTGCTGCTGCTTCCCGTCCTGCTGGTCACAGTGGTGTTGCTAGTGGCATTCGTGCTGCTGCGCTTGGTGCTGCTGATTCCCGTCGTGCTGGTCACAATCGTACGCTGATGCTGCTGGTTACCGTTGTGCTGGTCACGGTGGTGCTGCTAGTGGCGCTGGTGTTGGTGCGCATGGGGCTGCTGCTTCCTGTCGTGTTGGTCGCGTTGGTGTTTTAGGTGGCGCTAGGTGCTACGCGTGGAGCTTCTGCTTCCTGTCGTCCTCGTCACAGTGCTCCATAACTATAGCGGCGCGGGTGCTGCTGCGCGTGGTGATGCTGCTTGCTGTCGCGATGGTCACGTCATTGTACTGCTGCTGGTGGCGCTTGTGCTGCGGCTGGTTCTGCTGGTGCTGTTGCGCGTACTGGTGCTGTTGGTGGCGCTGGTGCTGCTGTGCGTGCTGGTGCTAGTCTCCGCAGACGACGCTGGTGCTGCTGCGAGTGGTGCAGATGTTTCCTCTTTAATGCCAGTCACGCCCGACGTGTGGCGGCACTTAGCCGCCGCGGCGGACACTGGCGACACTGGCTGCGCGGCGGCCGCCAGACGCCCTGAACGACGGCGGTCGGAGGGCGCTGCCCAGGGGGCAGCGTTGGCCAGGCTGGGCCCCGCTGCTGGCCAGGCAGGGCGTCGGTGCCAGGCGCTGGAGCTGCTGGCCGGGCTGGGCGGCGGCAGGCGGCGGGCGCTGACGGCGGGAACCACGTCGAGCCACTCCCACGTCCTCGCGCTCGACCTGGCGCTTCATGGTAGCGCTGCTATTCTATGCCCCGGCTCGTGCAACCCTTCCCTGCGGGAGCGACCGCCGGTCGGGGTTGGGCCGAGCAGCGGGTGCTTCCGTGGGTGGGGTTCGCATTGTCTCTCAGCCAAGTTCCGGATGAGCGGATTGCACATCTGGGGCGTCCCCCGTGTCCAACGCAAGATCGAGCGATCTAGATCTTGACACTTGCGCTGGGTTGCGGGAACGCCTCCCCCCCGCCGGCCTGGCCGGCAGGTGGGGTGAGGGCGCTCGCGCAGTCCAGCGTGAATCGCCTGGCGCTGCCGGTTCCCGTCGTGCTAGTCTTATTATTTCTGCTGTTGCCGCTGATGCTGTTTCGCGGGGTGCTGCTGCTTCCCGTTGTGCTGGTCACAGTGATGCTTCTGGTGGCGGTTGTGCTGCTGTGCGCGTTGCTGCTGTGTCCTTGCCTTACCTGGTCGTCGCAGTGGGGCTGCTCGTTACGCTTGCGCTGATGCGCGTCGCGCTGCTGCTTCCCGTAGTGCCGGTGACACTGGCACTGCTGATGGCGCTTGTGCTGCTTCGCGTGGCGCTGCTGCTTTCCGTCGTGCTCGTCACAGTGGCACTGCTGGTGGCGGTAGTGCTGCTGCGATTTGTGCCGCTGCTTGCTGCCGTGCTCGTCACAGGTGTCCTGCTGTTAGAATTGATGCTGCTTCGCGTAGCGTTGCTGCTCCCCGTCGCGGTCGTCATACTTGCGCTGCTAGTTGCACTAGTCCTGGTGCTAAATCGCAGAAGCGCGTTTGGGAGTTATGCCCCCCAACCCCGCTCGCGCAGTCAAGCGCAAAACGCGTGGCGTTGATGGTTCCCGCCGTGCTTGTTTAGTAGACTTGCTGCTGTCGTCTGTGCTGCTGCGCGTGGTTCCCGTCGTGCTGGCTACAGTGGTGCTGCTGGTGGCGCTGGTACAGGTGCGTGTCGTGTTGCTGGATATTGTTGTGTTCGTCAGGGTGGTACTGCTCCTGACCCTTGTCCTGGTACGCCTAGTGCTGTTACGTGCTGTGGTGCTGGTCACACTGGTACTGCTGGTGGCGCTTGTGCTGCTTCGCGTGGCGCTGCTGCTTCCCGTTGTGCTCGTAACAGTGGTGCTGCTGGTTGTTATGGTGCAGCTGCGCTTGAACCTGCTTCTTGCTGTCGTTGTGGTCAGTGGTGCTGCTGGTGGCGTTTGTGATGCGTCGCGTGGTGCTGCTTGCTGTCGTGCTGGTCAAAGAAGTTATGGTGTTGTCGCTTATACTGCTCTGCTCGCACTAGTGCTGCTGGTGGCGCTTGTGCTGCTGCTGCTGCGCATGGTGCTGTTGATTCTGGTGGTTATCGTCTCAGTGGTGCTGCTGGTTGTGCTATAGCTAGAGCCTCTGCGCGTGTGCAGTGGGACACCTCGCCCGCGATCACGACGTATGACCTCGCCTCACCGTTGGCCTTCATTATTGCGACCGTTGCTGTTGCTTCAGCCCCGGCCGCGTCCATGATTGCAAATGTTGCTTTCGCCTCAGCGCAGGACACACCCATGTTTGCGAATTGTGCTCTCGCCTCAGCGCCGGCCACAGATCGCCGCGCGAAGCGCCCTCCCGACGCGCCGTTTGTTCCGACGCGTGGGGAGGGTGCTTCGGCCACCCGGGCAAACTCCGCCTCGGACGCGGCAGGTTCGCCGTGGATTTGCCGCGGTGCTGGCGTCGTGTACATGGGGCACGGTACGCAAGGATTGCTGTGGGTTTGCCGTGGTGTCGGCGTCGTCCATTTGGGCGCGTCGAAAACAAATGGTGCTGCGACACATCAAGGATTGCGAACGCTGCTCTCACTTCAGCGCTGTCCACATCCATGATTGCGAACGTCACTCTCGCCTCAGCGCCAGACACCCACGACTACGCTGGGTACTCTCGCCTCAGCGCCAGCCACATTCATGATTGCGAATGCTGCTGCAGGCCGGGCGCCGGCCATTTTCTTCAACGGAGCCAACGAGGGATCAGTGACACAGTTGGCATTTATGCAGTGCATGTTGCTGTGTCGCTTCGCTCCCGTGCATCGTTTGCTGCAGCGCGCGCGTGACACACCGGTGTCGCCGAGCCGGTGGTCTGGTCGGCTTTAATGGGTCAGGTTCGCTTTGGCGCAGCGTCGGAAGGGGCTGGGTCAGGTTCGATTTGGGATGCGCCAGATTAGGGGCCTTGGACACGTTGCTGGAAAGGGAGATTTGTCCACAATCAGATACGAAGATGGCTGGTATCGAGAGTCGGGATATCCGTGTTGAATGTCACGCAAGCTGACAAGAGCGAACAGTCTTGCCATGACTGTTGCTGCTGCTGTTGTTGCTGCTGCTGTTGTTGGTGTTCTTGCTGCTGTTGATGTTATAGTTGTTGTTGATGGTGGTGTTGCTGTTGTTGTTTGTTGTTGTTGTTGTTGTTGTTGTTGGTGGTGTTGTGATTGTTGTTGTTATTATTAGTATTATTTGTGTTTTTATTGTTGCTATGCTGTAGCTTCTTTGTCTTGCTCCCTATGTACATCTCTCTCTCTCTCTTTCTCTCTCTCTCTCACTCTCCCTCTCTCGTTCTAACTCCCCCTCTCTCCCTCTCGCACTCTATCACTCCCTCTGCCTCCGTCCCTCCCTCTCTCTTCCTTTCTCTCCCTCCATCTCCGTCGCACACACACATCATTTGGGACACCACTCCCTCACCCCCCCGATGTTGGGGGGGGGCCCTACCCCTCTCGACACCATCCGGCCAGCAAGGTGGACGTGACACGGAGGCAGCTGGAGTGCCTTAGACCTGGCGAGTGGCTGAACGACGAAGTTATCAATTTCTACTTCCAGCTTCTCCAGGCCCTCGCCCTCGACTTTTCTACTCGTCATGCTGCGCTTCGTCATTCCCGCCCCACCCCCTCCTTCTAGTCCGTCCCGGCCTCTTCTTCTTTTCCCTGCGCTTCCAGAACGCATCCTATTGTTGTTCCTCGTCCTCATGTTTGTCTTTGTTCTGGTCCTCTGCCTTTCTCTGTTCTTTCACACCCTCTGACCCTCCCTCTCCCTCCTCATCGTCATCCCTCCTCCCTCCTCGGCCATCTCCACTCTCTCCTTCCTCTTCCGCCCTGTCTCCTCCACCTCGCGTCCATTCTCCCTCTCCACGGGCGAGGGGGGGGGGGGGCGATGCAGCAGGCGAGGGGGGGCGGGGGCGATGGAGCAAAGATAGAAACAGAAGGGTGTGAGGGTTGTTGCTAGCAGTTCTGTGTCTCCTCCTCCTCCTCCTCCTCCTCCTGGTGTTGCTGCTGCTTTCCCTCCCCCTCACACCCGCTGAGACCCAGAAGCCCGAAAGCCTTGCAGAACCCCAGAGTGTCTCCCTCGGGAAACCTCTTCCTCCCCCTCCCCTCTCGCTCAGATCCCAGAACTTCTCCTCCTTCTCCTCCTCCTCTTCCTCCTCCAGGAGCGAGCGAAGGTGGGCGACAAGCTGACCTGTTGGATGCCCAACTCCTTCTTTTGGCCGAACCTCAGCGGGAAAGACAATAAGAACTACAGCTACGCGGGTGTCCGCAGGTGGATGAGGGCGAACAAGATCACATGCCTGGCGCTTCTGTTCGACAGGGTCGGTCTTCAGGGGCTTGAATCGCCATCGGAACTAGAAAGTCGTCGGCGATACCCATGACTTGCAGACTGGACCGAGGCAGCCAGGTATGATGAGAATGGGAGGAAGGACGAGGGAGGATGAGGAGGCGTCGTGGAAGAAGGGGCATGGAGGGTGAGCGAAAGGAGCCTCCGCAGGTGGACGATCAAGCAGAAAGTTGACATTTTCAGCCTCCAGCGAGTCATCTTTCCCATGAACATCTGCGATACCCACTGGGCCATGGGCGCGATTGATCTGCGCGATAAGGGATTCCGATATTTCGACTCCATGTTCAGCAAGCCGCACCCCAACTTTGTGCCTTTCCTGCGGCGGTATCTGGAGGACGAGCATAAGGCGAAGAAGGGCGGTCCCCTGAGTGGGATCGAGGATTGGCAGCTGTTGGAGCCCGACGCGCCTATACCCAAGCAGAAGAACGGATATGATTGCGGCGTTTTCACTTGCAATTTCGCGGAGTTCTTCTCGGCCGGGAGAGCGTTCGCGTTCACCCAGGAAGACATGCCCAACCTCAGGCAGAGGCTCGCTGCCCGGGTTATGAAGGCAGACGAGAATTGGACCTGAGAAGTAACATCTCCATCGCCATCTTCCAGATAATGTTTGCACAACAATCGTCCTCACGCGCGTACGCACACACCTCCCTCCTCAGGAGCATTAGATATCGACGTAAGGATACTTCGTATTCTTTGCGAGGCCACTGGTCTGGATGGGGCATCCTCTTGGCTTCGCATCGCTACGTATCCCGATGAAGCTTTCACTCCGGGCTTGTGGTTGAATCGTCGGAGGAGCCTATGTGCCTGCTCACAAGGAGAACAATACATCGAATGGCATTCGGCCCATCCCGCCACCGTGCCAGGGTTGTGGGTCAGAGTTCTCAGGGATGCGTTTGGGAGTCTCTTCGGAGCGCCTTAAGGGGCCTCTTCGGGGCAGTGTTTGGGCTTCTTGGGAGCCTCTTGGGGGCCTCTTGGGGGCCTCTTGGGGGCCTCCTGGGGCCTCTTGGGGGCCTCTCGGAGCTTCTTGGGGGCCTCTTGGGGGCCTCTTGGGGGCCTCTTGGGGCCTCCTGGGGGCCTCTCGGGGCCGAGGGTTCGAAATGTCCGTTCGGGTTTCCCATCTGGGACCCCTCTTGGAGCCGTCTTTTGGGCCCTCTTGGGCCGTCTTGGGCGTCTCCTCGGCCGTCTTGGGGCCCTTCTGGGCCGTCTTGGAGCCCTCGTGAGGGCCTCCTGGGGCCTCTTGGGGCGATCTAGGGGGTCTCCTGGGCCGTCGTGGAGCGTCAGCAAGCCGAAAACGCGAGAACGCCCCAATCGTTCAAAAGCTGTTCGGAAAATCATTGGTTTGGGCCTCTGGGGGGCCTTTTTGTGAGGCCTCTTGGAGGCCTCTTGGGGCGTCTTGGCGGCCTCTTGGGCCGTCTTGGGTCCATCTTAGGCTTCTTGGGGCGATCGTTCGGCGACTCGGGGCTCTCTTAGACCGTCTTGGCGGCCTCTTGAGGTCCCCTTGGCACGTTTTGGGCCCCTTTTCGGCCCCGGAAAATCGCGCAGGAATGGATCGTGGGTGGGTCGCGGGTGGGTCGCGGGTGAGTCGCGGGGTGGGTCGCGTGGTGTTCGCGGGGTGTTCGCGGGGTGGGTAGCGGAGCAGGTCGCGGGCGGGCCGCAGGCCAGGACGGCGCCAGCAAGAACAAACCACAATCAGTTTAGGATGGTTCGCTCTTTTTTGCTCGCGGGTTACACATCATATTAATCCCAAGTCCTCGATACCCCCCTTGGGGTTATATATTCCTTACCTGCCACGTGCACTTGACGCAACCCCTAACACAGGGGAAGGAAGGGAGCAGAAAAGGGACAACGGGGAGGGAGAAGGACGGATCTCGAGAGAGATTCGCAGAAGGGGGGTCAGGAGCAGGAAGCAAGCGGCATAATCAGACGGGCGGGTCGGGCGGGCCGATCCTGAGAGGCGGGTCGGGTGGGCGGGCACAGGCGGCGGGTTTGAGCTGTTGGGTCGCTGAAGCGTCAGTCCGCATCAATCGCCAGGAAGTCTGAAGCGATAGCGCGATTCCCAAGTAAACCGTAAGGAAGCCCAGAGCGAGAGCGTGATTCTTGAGTGTCGAGGGCGCGGCCTTTCGATGAATTGCGAGGAAAGCCCACGCCAGAGCGCGATCCCTACATACATGATGAGGAAGTCCCGCTCGAGAGCCTGATTTGGACTAAGAAGTAAGGAAGTATCAAGCGGGACCCGTTGTTGAATACGTAGCCCCCCGCAGTTGCGGATAAGAGTAAGGAGCCTGTGGTGTCGTCGACAGTCTGCAAAGCTCTGAGGAAGCCCGCCGCAGGCGCCGAATTTTGTCGTCAAAGCAATGTGGGTGGGTCGCTGGTGGATCGCGGGTGGGTCGTGAGGTGAATCGCGGGATGGGTCGTGGGGTGTGTCGCGGGGTGGGTCGCGGGCGTGTCGCAGACGAGGACGACGACAACAACGCAAAAACGGAACACCAACAACAACGCAGCAACGCAACAACGCAACAACAAGCCGCACCGCGGAACCCCACTTCAGCTTCGCGCCCAGGGGCAATGAATTACCGTTCGGCCCCTCACACTTGATTCATTATTGGTACTCATCATTCAGCAGTTCTGAATGTTGGACCCCTTATATCCGCCCTGGCGCTCTCGCGTCGGCGCCGGCTGCAGTTCTTTTGACAATGGTGCTCACGCTCAATCATGTCGGGTTTCGCCCAAGCCGGCCCCCCAACAGCAACAACAACAACAACAACAACAACAACAATAGCAACACCACCACCACCAACAATAGCCACAACATTCATGTTGAGACTGTTCCCTCTCACCTGCTCGCGTGCCATTCAACGCGTATATCCCGAACCCTCGAAACCCACCCTCTTCGTCCTCGACCGTACCCCCTTGGGGGTATACTTTTCTTACCTGCAACGTGTATTTCGCGCAGCCCCTGAGGTACATAGGGGAAGAGAGGACGGATGGAAGGAAGGACAAGGGGGAGGGAGGAGGATGGATCACGGGGTAGGAGCAGAAAGCACGTGGTAGAACCAGACGGGCAGATCGGGCGGGTAGGGCCCAGGCGGCCAGGTCGAGCAGGCAGGTTGCTCAAGCGTGCGTCCTGCATGAACGGGCAGGAAGTCTCGAGCGACAGCTCGGTTCCCAAATTAATCGTTAGGAAATCCACAGCGACAGCGTGACTCCTGAATGTCGAGGGCGCGGCGTCTGAAAAAAATGCGAGGACCTCCCACGCGAGAGCGCGATTCCTGAATACATTGTGAGGAAGTGCCGCGCGAGAGCGCGATGTAATACATTGTGAGGAAGTATCAGGCGGGAGTTGTTGTTGGTGTTGTTGTTGTTGTTGTAGTTCGGGGGCCAACATCGCAGCTTGAGCCGAGCGGCTTTCCTTGATCAAAGAAAAAAGCAGGCTCCGAGCCCCGGGGGAAGCACTTCAATTGAAAAACACAATGGCCACTGGAGGGGGATCAGCAATATTTGTTCTTCATTAGTGAGTGCTCAGCAACAACAGCAAGAACAATAACAACACAAACAACACCAACAATCATTTTAATATTGCTCGTTCTTATCTGCTCGAGTGTCCGTTAACGCGTCTTTTCCAAACCCTCGATGCCCGCCCTCTTCGTCTTCGATCGTACCCCTTCTGGGGGGATACTTTTCTTCCCTGCAGGCCAGGCCCCAGCAAACGGCGGAGCGGCCGCGGATTGTCGGCCTGGTCAGCGGCAGCGCTGATCGGCAGGAACCCGACCCCAAGAGGGACGGACAGAAAACCGACCACGAAGACGACGACGCCGACGTCGACGACGACGACGGCGGCGACGACGACGACGACGACGACGAGCGAAAGCGAGAGCGAGAAAGAGAACGACAGTAGGGCCACGAAGGGCACGAAGTAGGCCACGAAGGGCGACAAAGGGGACACGAAGGGAATGCGTATGGGGCCACGAAGATCGCGAACGAGCGGGGGCCACGAAGGGCAGATAATGCGGGACCACAGAAGGCAACGACGGGGCCACTGAGGGTAGCAACTGGGCCACGTAGGACAGCGAGGGGGCCTCAAAGGGCGACAGCGGTGCAACGAAGGGCATGCACATGGGGTCACGACGGGCGCGAACAAACGGGGGCTACGAAGGGCATGCGCATATTGGGCCGCGGAGGGCAAAGACGGGGCCACTGAGTGCAGCAACGGGGCCACGAAGGGCAGCGACGGGGCCGCGAAGGGCGACAGCGTGGCCACGACGGGCATGCATATGGGGCCACGACGGGCGCGAACGAACAGGGGCCACGAAGGGAATCCATATGAGGCCACGGAGGGCAGCTAGGGGGCCACGAAGGGGTGCAACGGGGCCACGGCTGCAACGAGGGCCCGAAGGGCAGCGAGGGGGCCACGGAGGGCTGCAACGGGGCCACGAAATAAAGCGAGGGGGCCACGAAGGGCTGCAACGGGGCCACGAAAGGCAGCAAGGGGGCCACGAAGGGCTGCAACGGGGCCACGGAGCAAAGCGAGGGGGCCACGAAGGGCTGCAACGGGGCCACGAAGGGCAGCAAGGGGGCCACGAAGGGCTGCGACTGGGCCATGAAACAAAGCGAGGGGGCCACGAAGGGCTGCAACGGGTCCACACAGGGCAGCGAGGGGGCCACGAAGGGCTGCAACGGGGCCACGAAGGGCAGCACGATCCCGGCTCCGAAATAATCTCTGAGGGAGTCCTAAGCGTGAGCGCGACTCCTGGGTGCCTGAGTGTCAAGAGCGCGGCGCTTGAGGAAACTGCGGGCAATTCCAGCGCAACGGCGCTGTTCTTGGGTAGATTGCAAGCAACTCTCCAGCGAGAGCGCGACTCCAGAGCGCTGAGAGAGCGATTCTTGAATAAATTGTTAGGAAATCCCAAGCGCGAGCGCGATTCATGAATTAAATGCGAGGAAGTCTACGGCGGGAGCGGGGGTCCTGGCTCGTTGTTGTTGTAATCCGGGGGCCAACAACACAGCTTGAGCCCCAAAACATTCCCAGATAAAAAAACAGGGTGCGAGCGCCGGGAAGGGCACTTCAATTGAAAAATGCAATGTGCTACGGAGGGGGGATCAACAATACTTATTGTTCAGTAGTATCAGTTCAACGTTCCCGTGTGATACTTCCTGACGAATTACTCCGAGAGGCCCTGGCCAGAGAGGGCCCGAAACTCAGGAAGCGCGCTATCGCTTAAGACATGTTTGCAACTTTTGCGACACATGGGGGGTCTTTCAGAGCAGTCCTGCCGCTACTTGCGAACGCCGGAACATTCGTTTCGCTTGAGACGCCATTGCGATTTGGCATCGCAGGGGTCCTTCAGGGCAGTATTGCCGCGATTTGCGGATGCCAGAACGGCCGTTTCGCTTGAAGCCTGTTCGCACATTAGCACCACAGGGAAGTCTTTCAGAGCCAGGTTGCTGCTACCTGCGGATGCCAGTACGGGGTTTTCGGATGAGACTTGCCTGCGGTTCAGCACCACTCGGGGGTCCGTCAGAGCATTCTTGCTGCTACTCGCGGATGTCGAAACGGCCGTTTCGTCTGACTGAAATTGAGCAGCACGTGGAAATCCGTGAGAGCAGTCTTGCCGCTACTTGCGACGGCCCCAGGAGTCTCCAGGACGCTCCTGGCATATGCGTTCGCCTGGGCATTTTTCGGCCCCCCCGCTCCCAGGAGGCTTGGAACATGAATTATCGACCTTGGGATTCCTTCATTCTTTGCGGAGCCACCTGTCTGGATTGGGCGCCCTTTTGGAGTCTTCGGCGTTACGTATCCCAATGAAGCTTGTACTAAAGTTTTTTTTAATGGAGGACCCGATGTGCCTTCTCGCAAGAAGAAAAGTATGTATGTGTTTGTGCGTAGATTTGTAGAGGCGCATAGCATACAGACAGCGTCAAAAAGGCGACGACCGCGTCTCATGGAGCAGTTCCCTCGCATGTGTTGGATGAGGTGGAATCAGGCGTCGGGGATGGGTTGAGAGGATAACTAGCGTGTTGTATGTTCCATGCTTACGGCTGCTAAACATGACACCTGTAGTGGCATTGGTCGCTCCTGTGTTCATGGAAGGTATACGAAGTACCCCGCAGTTGCGGACGGCGGGGTCGTCGGCAGTCTGCGAAGCTCTAAGAAGCTCGCCGCCGGCGCCGATTGCTTCACATTGCACAGCGATCTCGCTGCAGGAGCCGATTTTTCATCAAAGCAACGTGGGTGAATCACGTGTGGGTGGCGAGGTGGGTCGTGGGGTGGGTCGCGGGAGGGATCGTGGGGTGAATTCGGGGTGGGTCGCAGGGTGTGTCGCGGGCAGGTCGCAGGCAAGGACGACGACAGCAACTAACGACAATAACTTTAAGGCGGTTCGCTTCTTTTTGCTCGCGGGTCACTCATCATGTAAATCCCAAGTCATCGATACCCACCCTCGTCGTCTTCGATCGTACCCCCCTTCGGGGTAGATCTTCCTTACCTGCCACGTGCACTCGACGCAGCCCCTAACACAGGGGAAGAGAGGGAGGAGAGAAGGGACAAGGGTGAGAGAGAAGGATGGATCACGAGAGAGATTCGCACAGAAAGGGGTCCAGAGCAGGAGAACAATCGACACATCCACACGGGCGGGCTGGGCGGGCCGACCCAAACGGGCGGGTCGGGCGGGCGCGCCCAGACGGCGGGGTCGAGAAGGTGGGTCGCTGACGCGTCAGTCCGCATGAATGGCGAGGAAGTCTCGAGCGATGGCGCGATTCCCAAGTAAACCGTGGGGAAGCCCAGGGCGAGAGCGTGATTGTTTGACTGCCCAGGGCGCGGCATTCCAAGAAAGTGCGGGGAGGTCGCACGCGAGACCGCGATTTCTGCATAGATTATGAAGAAGTCCCGCCCGCACGAGAGTGCGATTTTGAATAGATCGCAAGTAAGTATCAGGCGGGAGCCCTTGTTGAGAAATTCAAGTTTTAGGAATCAGTACTGATGGGTCCCCTAGGTCCGCCCTGGCGCTCTCAACTCGGCGACGGCTGCAGTTCCTGTGGACGTTGTGTGGACGTTGATGCTTCCGCCCACGAGTTTGGGGATTCCGGGATGCCGCCCAAGGCAGCACCCCAACAACAGCAGCGCATCCGTGTGATGTGTTCTCACAATTTGCTTCGAGAGGCCCTGGCCAGAGAGGGCCGAAACTCAGGAAAGGCGCTCTCGCCCAAGACTCCTTCGCAATTTAGCGCCACAGGGGGGGGGGTCCTTCAGAGCAGTCTTCCCGCTACTTGCGGGCGCCGGAAGGACCGTTTCGATTGAGATTCCAGCGCAATTTGGCATTGCAGGGGGTCTTTCAGGGCAGTCTTGCTGAGTGTTCGGGATGCCAGAACTGTCGATTCGCTGGGGACCTTTACGCAAATTATCAGTACAGGGTGGTCCTTCAGAACCAGGTTGCTTCTACTCGCGGATGCCGGAACTAATGTTTTGCATGAGACATGCTTGCAGTTCAGCGCCACAAGGGGGTCCGTCAGAGCATTTTTGCTGCTACTCGCGGATGTCGAAACGGCCGTTTCGTTTGAGATTTCCGTGCAATTGAGCAGCACAAGGAAATCCGTCAGAGCAGTCTTGCCGCTACTTGCGGAGGCCCCATGAGGCCCCAGGCCCCAGCTCGCTCCAGGGATATGTGTTCGGGGAGCGCTTTGCGGTTTGGATATGCGTTCGGTGGGAGCTTTTCGGTCCCCCTACCCCTAGGAAGCCCCACGAGTCCCAGGAGTCGTGTTGTAGATGTATAGATGTTCGGCGATGTGTTTTGGGTCCCCGTAGGCTTCGCCCCTACAGGGTTCGCCGCCGCTGTCCTGGGACGCGAATCCTTTTCGTGTTTCACGTATGTGCATTTCTATTGCCGCTCTCGTGGAGCTCGACTCCTTTCCGCGTTTCACGCGTGTTTCTATTTATTCCGCCTCGATTGGGGCCCGACTCCATAGAGTTTAAAGTGTGCTCCTGTAGGATACCCCTGTCCTCGGGCTCGGACCCTTCGTGGTTCGAATCCTCGCCGCTCTTCGTGCGATCTGAAAGTGGGAGAGTGCATCGGGAGAGATGTTGGCCGACCTCCTTGGGCGGAAAATCCTGGCGAGGGAATGTCGGCCCCCTTTTTCATGTAGTTCCCCAAGAAGGGGGGCATCATCATGGATGCGTGTAGCATGTAGGAGCATGACCCATGAGGCGCAATCCTTCCCCTCATAAATCCACCGTGCGTGGGCCCTGGGGGGGCACTTCGCTGGAAAAAACAAGAGGAGCACCGGAGGGAGTGATCCACAATATTGACTTTTCAGAAATGAGAGCTCCAGGTCAGCAACAGCAAATTAAAAGCAAACATCATCTGGGCCACGGAAGCCCACCTCAGCTGCGCACCCGGGGACAGTAAATGACCGCTCGAACCCCTCATTCTGACCAGTCGGATCGGGCAGACTGTTGGGCCCCGTGGGCTCTACGCCGTCCAGCCCAGGCCTGGAGACCCCAGGACGTAGTGCACTGCGGCCTGTGGCACGTTCCCCTGGCAGCGCGCGTGCACTGAGAGTTTTGGAAGTGCATACTGACGGAACCGGAGGGGTTTTCTGGATTTGTCGCCGCGTTGCGGGCCCGTGCCGCCGCGTGGGCGCCTCGTGGGCGCCCGGCGCTCGGGGGCCATGCCGACGCTGCGAGACGTTGCGGGCCCGTGGCGCCGGGTGGGCGCCTCCTGGGTACCCCGCGCTCAGGGGATATGCCGAGGTTGCGCCACGTTGCCGCCCTGTGGGCGCCGCATGGGCGCCCCGCGCCTGGGAGATATGCCCAGGTTGCGCCGCCCGTGCCGCCCATGGGCGCCCCACGTAGCTTTCACTGTATAGCTTACACCGCATAGCTTACCCCCTAAAATTTTCACCTTTAGCTCACCCCGCAAAACTTACACGACATAGCTTGCATTAGTATCTGTCCCAACGTAGCTTGTATCACGTATATTCTCCTTTCTAAAAGACTAATAGATTCTACCCCCCCCGGACTTATCGGGTCCTCCGCGCGTGCTGTAAATCACATATGATTCTGACCACATGTCCATCTTAAATCTGAATTCATACCATCCCAGCCAAGCCGGTATCCCCCCCCCTGTGGTTCCCTTGTAAAAAACACTATGCGGTGACATGTTTTGCTCTAATATAGCACTTTTTCACGAATCCCTTGCAAAAAATGGGACGAAGTACACACGCGCGCGTCGTGGCGCGCGCATGCCGAAATCCTTCAAAAACCTTCGGTTCCGGAGAGACTTCAAAATTGAATTTCCAAAAAACATATAAAAACACATGGTTTCGCAACACTGATTTGCTATAAAAAAAAGTCCGCGCGAGCTCTTGAGAAATCTGAAGAAAACCATGGGTATTCCAAGATTTTCACAAAATGCTACCAAACGGGCTTCGCGCGCGCGCGCATGTCGAAATCTGTCGAACGCCCTTGCGCGTGTGCCGTCGCGAGAATCCTTTGCAAAAAATGGGACGAAGTGCAGACGCGCGCGTCGTCGCGGGCGTATGCCGAAATCCTTGAAAAACCATCGGTTTCGGAAGGATTTCGAAATCGTGCGTCCAAAAAACCTACAAAAACACAAGGCTTCGCAACACGGGTTTTCAACAAAATTGTGCGCGCGCGCTCTTGCGTCGTCGCGTCGTCGTCGTCCTCTCCTCCCTCGTCGTCGTCGTCGTCGTCGCCGTCGTCGTCTTCTGTCTTTCCTCGTCGTCGTTGTCGTCGTCTTGGCGTCGTCGTCGTTTCCGTCGTCGTTGTCGCCGTGGTCGTCCTTCCTCCCTCGTTGTCTTCGTCGGCGTCTCGTCGTTGTCCCTCCTATTTCGTCGCCGTCGTCGTCGTCGTCGTCGTCGTCGTGGTCTTCACTCCTCCCTCGTCGTTATCCTCCTCCCTCGTCGTCGTCGTCCGTCGTCGGCGTCTCGTCGTCGTCCCTCCTATTTCGTCGCCGTCGTCGTCGTCTTCGTCGTCGTTGTCATCGTCGTCGTCTTCCCTCCTCCCTCGTCGTTGTCGTCGTCGGCGTCGCCGTCCTTCCTCCTTCTTCGTCGTTGGCGTCGTCGCCGTCTTCCCTCCTCCATCGTCGTTGTCGTCGTTGTCGCCGTCGTCGTTTTTTCTCCTCCCTCGTCGTCGTCTCCGTTGGCGACGTCGTCGTCGTCTTCG